AAGTGAACTGTCAGATTTCCACTGCGCCCAGTGAGTCTCAACGTGGGCCTTTTGTAAATGACAATTCCAATTCATGAAAGCCATCTGCAATATTTTATGGTATCTTGTTGTTTACAGCCAATTTATACAATGTCTGTTTTTTTTTTTCGCTTTACGTCCTTCATTATTCTTTTGAAGATCGCTCTGAGACAAATTGAAAGTCATTGAATTAAAAAAATTATACTCATCGAATTGTTGGCAGAAATCCAATACAATATGTATAAAATTAAATATTATTTACACATTCGAAATATTTTAATTGCACGGTCAGCTGCTCGTATAATTTCTCTAGACATGTATCAAAGAACATATTTATTTGTGAAAATTTTCGAGCATTTGTATTGATATTTATGACAATGACAAGATATGTCTGAAATGTATCTCTTTGTTGAAACTCACCGTGAGTTCGATTTAGACCTTGACGCGACACTAAATTTGGGCATAATTTAATTAAATTTGAATGAGTTCATAATTTAATTAGTAAGTGTACCTATAAAGGTATCTATCATTTTGTTAGTATTCGTAGTCTATGTGATAACATAATTAAATTGATATTAAACTTAAAATCTTCAGGCCTTCATTATCAGTTTTAGAATCACATAACTTACTAATTCTCTGATTTTCATTTCTTTTCTTTTAAGTTCGTTGTTTGTATCTAATGGGTTGAATAGATACTGACACAAGATAGATTTTAAATAGGTAATATTAATGCATCGTAATGAACTAACAACACAGTTTTGTAAGGCAGTTGTGAAAGACACAAAGCCGGTTAGATTCTTGTTTTATACTGTTATTTAATCTCTTAAGATTGTGCGCTATTTCGCACTTGACATATAAAGTTAGTACTTAAATACTGGTTCTACTAGAGTTGTGAATGAGGTAGTAATGACATTTACAAGGCGGATTAATATGGTGTAACGACAAACCGGTGATTATATTCAGGGAAATACCTTGACATTGGCTGTCAGAAACAGACTGAACTGGAATGCTTTCCTTGTTATCTATACTAATATTATAAAGCTGAAGAGTTTGTTTGTTTGTTTGAACGGGCTAATCTCAGGAACTACTGGTCCGATTTGAAAAATTCTTTCAGTGTTAGATAGCCCATTTATCGAGGAAGGCTATAGGCTATATATCATCACGCTAAGACCAATAGGAGCGCAGCACCAATAAAGAATGTTTCAAAAACTGAGAAAATTTATTACTATTGAGAGACGCAGACGAAGTTGCGCAGGTCAGCTAGTGTAAAGATAAAAGGAGATTATACGGTATTCGATAAATATACCGATTAGGGTTTGGGGTTTTGGTTCAAGTGTCTGGAAGACCTAAGACACGATTGTTGACATTCCATTTTATAAGTTTTATTTTCTAAAGACAGTCTATTTTTACAAGTAAATAAGGTTAAAGTTTACGTTTTTTTAATTTAAAAAAGCAACGGCTTAAAGTACTCGGTAGAGTCCCAGTGATGTGTGCGTTAGGGCCCTTACGTTCCCTGAAGGCCAGCAACGTCGCGATACTGCGACGACCGCAGCGAGTGGTGGCCATCAGGATCATGAGGGGGTACCGCAAGATCTCCTTTGAGGCGGCGAGTCTCCTGGCCGGAACTCCACCGTGGGACCTGGAGGCGAGAGCCCTTGCGGCTCTGTATCAGTGGCGCAAGGAGGCGCGAGAGTCGGGTCGGTGTCCCAAGATTCGAGAAATCGATGACCGGAAATCCCAACTCCGCCAGGTCATCATAGGGGAGTGGTAGGTCATCGCGGCGGTAAGATCCTTTATGGAGGATTGGCTCGAGAGGCGTCACGGGACCCTCTCATACCGACTGACGCAGGTGATCACTGGGAAAGGATGTTTCGGCTATCACCTGTGTCTGATCCGCAAGGAGCCAACGCCTGAGGGCCACCACTGCGATGGCCAGACCGTGGACACGGCTCTCCACACGCTGGCAGAGTGCCCGGCGTGGGTTGAGCAGAGGCGAGACCTCGTGGCGGCCATCGGAGTGGGAGTTCTTTCGCTCGATAGCCTGACTGCGGCTATCGTGCGGAGCGAGAGTGCCGTCTCTGCCGTTTCCTTCTGCGAGCAAGTTATGCTCGCGACGGAGACGATGGAGTGGGACGGCGGTTTTAGTCGGTTCGAGTCCGTATCCGAGAGGATTTCCACACGGAAAAAAAGGGCCCTTACGTTCTATAGCAAAACTAAATAAACAGTCGCAAACAAGATAAAGAAAAACTGTGTAGTATATAGTTTGCGAATATGGCGTTTTCATGACAACAGATAAATATTGTTTAAAATATGCCAAAATATATATTCTATAGAAACGTTAAATGCACCTATAAGTCCCACACTAACATAACCTAAAACTGACAGCCGTGTAACCGACTAAGTTAACTGAGTGTATTTAGTTTTCTTGTATAAATAGAAATAAAAAAAAACAAAGTTGTTTTTATACTAACAAGCTTGCGTAAAGAAAGTTCCAACTACGCAGAAAACTAGTTTCTGTTCGAGCGAAACTGTGATTACTTTTATAAAATAATGTTCGCAGCTCGATAGCTCGAGCTATAACGTTAAAGTTAACATCTATTAACGTTATTAGCTGCCCATTAACCAGCAATATCTAGTGGTTATCGAACAGCGGTTTCTCTATTGGCTATAAATAAATGATTGCGATATACTATCGCCTATTACTTTATGTGATAAATAATTTAAAAAAAACGTGATGATAAATTAATAATTATCATAAATTAGCGTCTCAAATTCTTTTCAAAACAGATGACGGTTATTTTATGTTCTTGTAATGAGTATATGAGAAATATTGCAAACATTGATAATAGTGATGATAGAAAATATTAACAACTCTGTTTTAAAGAACGGTAATGAACAATGATACAAAGTTCTTGGTATTTTTTGTTTATAAATAACGGTCTGTAACGGTTAGAGAGCTATTAAAGTGTGTATTATTTTGGTTTATTGGCACGCGTCGGTTATAAATTTCTGCAACAGTTCTTATTTTAAACGCATGTTTTGCTTTTCCACGTGGGTTGTTGTCAGAAATACTTAGGTTATGTGGTTAAGGTAAGAGGACTTTTTTATTACTAATTATTTATTGATGTGACCTATTATACTCGTATTATAAAGGAGCCGGGTGAGAAAGAGCAATGAAATATATAGATCTTAACGTTACTCTTAACGTTGCCGCGGTCTTTTATGCATACCTACCTATACATTATTATATTGTCATCCTTTTATGTTAATATAGTTTACTTTATTTTTCACCTAGAGAGAGGATCTCCCATTTTATTAATACGATTAATAACTAGCGACTCCCGACATTTGTAATAACCAAAACCTTTTAAGGTATTTTACTATCGTTTCAAGTTTCCTGTTATTTCCCTCCATACGTATACAAACTCTTTTCTACAATATTAAAGCATAGACTAACCGTCCCGGACGTAATAAGATTCGAATTTCCGAACTCATTTTGTTCGCTCTTGCAATCTTATAAGTAAGTATATTTTGTAAGTATGTACCTACATGTGATTTCGATCAAATTCGAAAATCGAATCGATCATTGCTAGTCTAAATTTAAAAAGAAAGCGTACAATAAACACGTTTAGAACTAAAATAAACTCTTGGCAGGTGCTTTTCACTTTTGCATTTTGAATGACTAAAATGCAAAACATTATGTAGTATGTTTTTACTTAGCTAAAACATGTACGAGTTTGTATTACTAATGTTGTAGTAAGCTTAAACAAGTTTTAATATGTTTTGGAGGGCTAAAAGCGTTATGCTCTTGAAAAGTCTTTGTGTCTTGGAAAAGATATTGGCGTAATCACGACAGTCTAGAATATTAAGTTGTAGTTTTGTGATGAACACTGTTAATACAGTTTATGTAAGCATTTAAAGAAGTAGCTTGATGGATCTACAAGTGTTAATAGTTTTTTCTTTGTTAAACAAACTATAAAACATGTAGGGGTGAACGGTAAAAGAGAAAATACCTAATAAATGACAATGATACTAATACACTTAAGTTTTTAAAATAAATGTTATGTAATGGTGTCATTGATTACACCTAATGTAAACAAAGATAGATTGAAGACACTGAAGCATTATAATATTAAGGTAAAGTTAATGCTGTTTTTAACGAATTTTAATTGTAATCATATTTCAATCAATTACAGTTACAATGACATTACTCAAAACAAGTAGAAAATACATTAATAGAAAAACTAAGTATAAATTGCACCATTATAAACGAAACATTTTCACCAGAACTTTAAATACTTCGCTACAGAAAGAAATACCTACAAAGAAAAGAATCATGAACATGTGAATATCGGATGCTTGTCACTCGACAAAAAGCGATCCGGATTTGAAGATTGTGTTCAGTTCTTGTCGTGTTAAAAGCACACTAACGAAAGACAGAAATGATTATAGGCTGATCGTGTCGGATTCAAATGATTATTTTTTATTTATAGTTTAGAAGTGTTAATCATAAAACGGAATACTGCTGTGTTGTCGTAGTTTTTTTGAATCATTGGAATATATATCACTGGTAGCTAAACCTATAATATTTTTTAAACTGATTTAAAAACCAGCAAATTCTTCTCTACTAATGTTTTCTCTGCAGAAATAATTCAACACATTTATTATAAAATTATATATGTATCTTTATATCGAATAAGTCGTAATTATACGTAATGTAGTGTCTACCTTGGTGGTCGTGCTCACAAAATTTGAATACATTTGAATTTACATAACTAAACGTGACATTAAATTTTATGATAGATAAAATAAATCATGCCGTTGAGAACGATGTTAATGTTTTTATTTTTAATTTCTAAAATATCATTATAGTGTCCATAGTCGCATAAGAAATCTTGTACATTTTTAAAATGACGGTACGCCTAGTGAATAGATAGATACAAACGACAATAAAAAAAAACTTAACCTGATTTTTTTTTCAGGTTGCCAAAATGGCCGCACCTTTGCACATCCAGCTGTTATTGTCGATGGTCTTGCCGGTAATAGCCCGTAAGTATTACATTGACTAGTAATTTTAAAGAATATAGCATTGCCTGCTTATTTGCATTTGTACTTAAACATTTTAGAAATAGTAAAGTGTAGATACTTACTTTCTTTTTTTTTTAACTTTGTTTTTAAAATAATTTTAAGAAGGGTGGTGTTTCAATTAGATTGTACTCGTATGTAAAACGTTTTATGTAGTCATATTGTCGGCATTTATAATTAGAATATTAAGTTTTTTCTTACCAGATAAGTCTTATATTTTATGTAGGTATTAAGGTACTCTGTAAGTTGTCTGATAATAATCTTAACAAAACTTATGTAAAACAAAGTTATCTTTCTTTAATTTTCTTACTAAAATATTTAAATGCCTTGTTACGATGCATTGAAGTCAATCTTGTTTTTATTTGGAAATGAATATTTCATATATTTTTTTAATCCATTTTGAAGTAACAAAAAGGGAATAAAAAATATCACAAAATGTTAGGGAGTAGAACTTAGTGCATTTCAAACTGTTTCGTTGTTTCAAAACTAATCACGATCGGCGCCGCATTAAAAATGTGACTGTGATGTGAATTTATCTACGTTTTATTTTCATTGCGTCGTAGTAAAGACGTGTTTGGTGTTAAAAGGAAGATAAACGATAATGAACGAGGTGCAAAGATATAACTTTTTGTCTATTTTAGACGTATAACATGCGCTATGGGTAAGCTCCCGGATACCGCAGGTAGCTTACCCTCACATGGACAAAGCACTTTGAGCCACAATAAAAAAAAAACTGAGATTATGGAAGCCTGTCGTCAGTGACCGTGACGTTTTTGTATTTAACAGAAGTCTGATTTAAAGTGGTGTAACTGATGAGGTTGATTGTTCGTATTTTAATTGTGTTAATTTATCATTTTATGAAATTTTGGACTATAAAATATTATAGGTAACACTACTACTACTTATATGTATGTTTAACTTTTAGCCGTATTGTTACATTGTGTTATGTAAATATTTCATTGTTTAAGATTGTAAACTTCTGGCATTTGAATTTTGTGTGATTTTTTAAAAAACTGATTATAACATTAAAATAATACATTATACATGCACTTAATTTTATATAATAATTATAATATTAAATATATCTAAAAAGGAAACTTTAAATCATTATTCGAAGTTGAGACAAAGTCCAGCCGTGCACGATAGCAGCGTCGATCTACATATTATAAACATATAAGTTGTTTACACCTTATTTACAGTAGATACGATACAATTTTACACTGTAGAGAAATTTACATTACAATTTTATCTTTCTTCTATTTTTATTCTTTCTAGCTTTCATAGTAAAAATTCAGCTTAGATTAAAACAACTAGGAGGGCGTTGTTTTTCAGATGTCCTAAAAATATTATTATTATTATCTTGCAACTCTCTAGAATAAAACCTGCAGTTCGGGTACGCACTAAGCATTTTAATTGTATTTACTAGAACTAGTGTAGAATTGTAATTGTACGTGTTTCTACGATTCTCCGCTTAGTTGTTATTAGTGACACATTCGATGGAGATGTATTAACTCTATGCAAATTTAGTTAACATTAACGTTATTTAATAGGAAAGATGGGAAATCATCTAATCGGTCAAACTCAGACCGCTCATTGTATCCGTACAACTCTCAGCGGTAATATACCCATAGAGGTTTTTATAGACAAACAACAAAAGTACAGGTATGCCCATATTTTATCTGGTTTCAAAATAACATTTTCTGCTGTCTCATCATAACCGCGAAACTAGTGAAGGTTCCAACATTCAGAAAAGAAAATATTGCGAGCCGCGTACACCGTTCAATTTGTGTTATTGTGCTATAAATTAATTTGATTTGCATAACATGAAAGAATTATCTTAAAATATAAGAGTACTCTGTGTTATTAACATTACTGGTAATAAAGTACTAACTTTTAAACTTTCGCGTTCCATGATAATTAATATTATTTAACGGGAATTAACGCGATCTCTTATTTAGGGTATTACATACCTCTGGTTTGCCTGACGTTTCGACCAGGTTGCACCGGCCGTGGTCACAGGCAACCTACCCTAAATAAGAGATCGCGTTAATTTCCGTTAAATAATATTAATTGGTAATAAAGTAGTTGATACTCTATCATATTTAAAAAAAAAATTGCTTGTCTCTTTTTTTATCTCTAATGTGTTGGTGTATAGTGTATCCGCTTGAGTTAAAACTATACAAAACAGTGTCGTTGGTATTTAAAAGAGAATTATATACATACCTATTTATAAAACAAGTTTCCGTTTGAAGGAGCGAATGTGTGTGTACTCGTATTATGATTTATAGCTTTGCTGGACTAACTAAATTTTTGTTTGCAATAAAACCTTTTTTTAAGATTTCCTTTTCTGTAATTACTACAGACTTATAGAGTAAGTGGTAACCCACTTACTCTATAAGTCATGTCAGTAGTTAAAAATTGGGGTAATGAACACACATGTGAGCTTTGGAACCACTTAAGCCAAAAGTTGTGCAGTCCGTCTGAACCAGATGATTGCCAATTCGGTAATGAAGGCACTGCACAGCTTACATCATCTTTATCGATTATAAAAGGTTCCATAGGTGTCTGACATCCCGCAACCAATCACCATCTATATGAGTGATAGGCACCGACCAGATTTTAAGCCAAAATGTATTTGTGACATTTTACGTTACCATGTTTCTGTAACTATATGGAGTAAAATCTAAATTAAAGCATACAGAACTAATTTTAAGCATTTGCTTGGTTCGGCCGGGCCTGGATACGTTTCTCTATATAACATACCTCACACATCCCACACACGGCTGTTTGATTCCAAACTAGGCGGAGCCTGTACTATGGTAACCAGACTGCTGATAAACATACCTATATATTTTCAAACACATACATGTTATAGATAAATTAGACCCAGACAACGAATCAATGACCGTGCTCATCACACAACATTTGTCCTGAATGGGAATCGAACCCACGACCTCTGGCTTAGCAGTCAGGGTCACTAACCACTTGGCAACAGGTCCGTTATTCACATTGATTGATATGCATACATAGTATGAGTGTCGTTAAAAATGTCTACAGGGAACGTACATACTCGTACAATTGGCGCTTATAATTTACCATACTGTTAAAAGTAAACCGCATTCAATTAGCAGTTTGCTAAAACTTAAAATGCCTAAAGCCATACATATGCGTAGATTTTGTATCGATGCAAAAGATGAAAAGATGACATAGTTATACAAAAGTATATAGTTTGTTAAAAGCGTACTTCACCATCAGACTCTGCATCGCTACTTACTCAAATAAATATATGAAGCTTTTTCTACGTTCACAAAAGGGACCCTAAAATGTGAGCCTTTCAACTAATTCCATCCGCTCCGAAATGAACCCAAAAAAGTTTGGAGTGTGCCTGTGTGGGTGTGTACGTGTGTACAAAACAAATTTTACGCTCGCTCGTCTTTATATTGTCCAAGTATTTGTGTGAAGTCATTAGTTACCTCCGCTTGGTCGGATTTGTAATTTTATTTTTTCTTTGTTTGTCTTTTATCGTATTACCGATAATGGATAGGTTAATAGTTTACTACTTTAGTTACCTGCCTGAGTTAGTGCTCAGTAGTTATTGCATGAATGCGATTTCTTGTTGATACAGTAACCTAGCTGCAAATATAGATCTAAGTTGACAAACAACTACTCAAACCACTAATAGTGGATCTCTGCCGACTTAAAACACCAGTAAGCTGCAAACTGGTTAATTCCGGTCTGGTGAACTTCCGTCGGCGAGGTCTTAGCTTCTAGCAAAAATCTTTTGTGTCCTACCGGTTCACTCAACGTTGAAACCTTCAACATTCTAATCCGAGTATTAGGCGAATAAAAGCAAGTGATAGTCATTGCATTAATAAATGATAATTCTTACAAATGAGGATTCTACAATCCCATCCACTTCTAAAAAAAATATTGTATTGCGATTATGTGTTTAATATTTAACACGTTCTAACACACAAAACATAAACTTGGTAGGGCATGGTAACTACCATGCCTTACCAAGTTTATGTTTTGTTAATTGAACACAATACTTTAAGAAAGTTGATGTTACGTCGGAGAAACATCCTTAGGGACTATTTATTTATTGCTTCCATCTGTAAGTAACAATAACACCCTTTGTAACAATTACTGTCATTTTGCCGTTAAAAGATTGAATAGATTGAAAAGATTGAATACGCATTTAGGGTCATGTCTTGTTTACACCAATTCAAGGGTGGCCACATATTCAAAAGCTGTTTAAATAAAAGCTCTTGTAACGTTCAATTATTATACTTATCGGTAGGTTGCAAATTACGTTACCTCAGTATAGAGATGAAAGAGTCAAGACAAGGCACAGACTTTAAAGATTTCATTATACTGCCGGAGCAACACGAGATAGAATATACATATATTTTTAAATAAGGAGGAAAGAGGACCAGTAAAGATTCTTAGTTTCTTGACCGCGACCTAAGAAATTAAAAAAAAATACTTCTCTGTGATTCTGTACTCTTTTTTTTTAAGTGAGGTAGCTTAATCGCGATAATACTTCTGGACACAAAAAGCGTAAGGGATAAGTTTTTACGAGAGCTTAAATAAAATTAATACACACTTTTGACAATCTTTTCAGTATAGCACACCATCCGTGTGGTTTTATGCGGTTCGATTCTGACATTCGCCTTCTTTGATAACCCGTCACCACACTATAAAAACAACAGCTCGCACATAGTTCTTGGTGTGCCTGAAAATTAAAGGATATAAGGATTAAATATTTTCAATTAGTCCACCAAACGCCGGGAATAGTATTGGAGACGTGTAATAACTGACTTTTAAGTCGCCATCCTGTGTTTGGCATTTCGCACGTGCATGAAATCACGTAAATTGTTGACGTTTGTTTTCTGTACACAAATGTAGTTCTTGAAAGCATACACAAGTTTATTAACATTCATTTATTTTTATGTTTAGAACGT